TAGCCTCCTTGAGCAAATGTCACATGGCTCTTACCATCTCGAAGAAAACGAGCAATAACCATATTCATGTATTGATCCTGAAAATACTAAGCTACGCTTTCAAAACGTTTTATGGGGAGCTTTACCTGGTCCTCATCGCCGTATCCAAAAAAGCAAATATGCTCGTCAAACTTCTGCGCGTTCTTATAGGATTCCAATGAATTGAGAGCAATTTCGAACTGGCTGGGAGCGTCAACAAGCTGAAGCACTCTAATCAGAATTAGATTCAAAAAAATCGCAATAAACAAGGTTGTAGCCGTTTTGAACGGGCGCCTATAGGTTATACAAGTAAAAAGTAAAAGTGTACAAGTCAGGGTTTCTGCTAATGTCACTTCTACATATTGTTCAGATGGTTGAATCGTAAAACAAACCAGTTGACAATCGAGGCTAAATGATCCATATATGTGGCCACAGTTGTATGCATCATTAGATCTGCAGTCAATCACAAAGTAGGCAATTTTTGAAGCCTGTAAATAGAATAGACTGTCATACTAGTCACAGAGTACTTCGCAAGAACCTCATGATAACTACCAAACGAACAAAAAATACTCACAGTGACAGCAGCACGATCTTTTTTAATCAATTCTTGAACAGTGACAGGTAAGCATAGCAATTTGCTGACTTGCAGATCGCCAGCCTCGTCGTCATAATTGGAACCAAATATGAGGTAATGAAAATCCTGAAAGATTTTGCCGCCTGAGTATCACCGGTCACGAGAGATGATCTATCGATCAAAAATATCACTAACCTCACGAACACACTGAGGAGTGCGGTCTGCATAGTAGGCAGACAACTGTACAAAATCTGGCACATCGCTGGCTGTCAATTGTTCTGGCAAAGTCATCAACAGTGACAGAGCATCGTCTCTGCAACTCACCTCTCAGCACAGTACTCTGGGAATGTACATTGTGCCCCGAATTTGGTCAGACCAAGCTAAAACTTAATCCGACTTCATCTTTAAGAAAGTCTTAGCTAAAGTTCCCGCTGATAACCTCCATGGAAACGGTTTTATCTTCTTAAACTTCACTATTGAAAATTCCCTTATCACAACAGAGGGGTGAAAGATCAAATCAGAGCAAAAACCGCACAGGCTTTTTGCACTGCGCTTGCATATTCTTCTCATCTCATAATCAAAAGTTAAGGATATGAAAACACTATATAAGACGAAGATGGGGATGCAAGAAAAAAATCGCCAGCAGAACCGCACCTATTCTCGCTCGCATACAGGCGATGTCAAAGACCTACTCCCTTTTCTGTAGTTCCCGATCCGCAAGCACGCGCGCAAGTCCCGTATGGACTAGTAGCTTCAGCCTTGCGATGCGTGCGCGTCAGCCTTGCGATGCGTA